CTGTGGGGCTGCTCCCCGCGGGGCGGCTCCTGCCACCCGGCCCCCCGCTCCCCACCTTCCCGCCGCCCTCTCACCGCCGCCCCTTCCCTCCCTCCCTCAGGACAACCGGACCGCGCTGCACTGGGCCTGCTCGGCGGGACACACGGACGTCGCCGACCTCCTCCTCGGCCTCGGCGTGCCTGTGGGCGATAAGGACGATGTGAGTGTCACAGCCCACCCGGGACCACCCACTCCTCCAAGGCGCTGGCCTAGGGCGCGGGGCTGCTGCCGGGAGCCCGAGGAGGTGCCGTGAACCGGTTTGAGTGGGGAAATTGGTGGCGCAGTTTCTGTCCGGACCCTTTGCCGTCATGGTTTCAGCCGCAGGAGTGCCCCTAGCAGCGGTCCGGTGGCGCTGAGGGCAGCGCCTGGCGCTTCCCTCCTTTTCTCCCGCCTCCCGTCCGCGGGTGGATCGGTTGGTGTGGTATTAGAAGGTTTTTAAAACGCGCGTACTACAGTCACGTTGAAGTATTTCAGTGTTTATGTGGAAGAGGGGATAATGAGACTTGATGAGCCTTGTCAAGGAATTTTAGGAGAACTCTTCCTTACAAAGTTGCAGAACCGGGGGTGTTTGGCTTGTTGCTGAGTGTTTTCATGTTACCTTAATCTCGGTGTAAAGCTCTTAATATGTTGTGCAAAATCATGAAGTACCCTGAAGACTTCTGACTACTGGGGAAGGCATTACAGATTAGGTGATGGGTTCAGTGATTTCACAGTTGGAAAGGCAATGGTCTGTTACTGTTCTAGAGGAAAGGTTGAAATAATTCCTTCCATTATGTGAAGCATCCTAAAGATCATCCTTAAAGAAGGAAATGTTGTCCCATCCGTTTAATTAGAGGGTAGGTTATATAAAAGATTGCAGAAACTTTGGGACACTCTTTTCTGCCACTCTTACTTTTTCTTAAAAAAACACTACTGTTAATTCTGCAGTGCCCTGCAAGATACAATGCATAACTACGTAAGAAGTGATCTGTTGTTTAACTGGCAGTTTTTTCAGGTACAGAACGCAGTTGTGTGAGAGGACGTGAGACTTGTCTCTCTGGTGATAATAACGCTTAGCTTTTTAGTAGTAAGAATATGTGCAGTATGACTAGTGAGTAGACAGGTCTGTATTAGGGTTATGCTTTGCCATATTTTTTGTCTGAAACTCCTGGTTTGAATAACGTGGGGTTTTTTCTTGCCTCTGTAGGCTGGTTGGACTCCATTACATATTGCTGCTTCAGCAGGCCGTGATGAAATTGTGAAAGCCCTCATTGCCAGGGGTGCTCATGTGAATGCTGTCAATCAGAACGGCTGTACGCCCCTGCATTATGCAGCCTCCAAAAATAAGCAGGAGGTATGTTTGCCTGTGCTGCTGGAGGTGGTGTTGCTCTTGGAAGAAGTATTTAGTTATATGAATGTTTTTTCCTCCTCCCCCCGCCTCCTTTCTCTTTCTCCATTCTCAGATTGCAATCATGCTTTTAGAGAACGGAGCTGATCCGGATGCAAGAGATCATTTTGAATCCACCCCATTACACAGAGCAGCAGCCAAAGGAAACCTAAAAATGGTACAGATCCTTCTGCAGCACAATGCATCTGTTAATATACGGGATTCTGAAGGGAATACTCCTCTGTAAGTAATTTTTTTTTTTTACTTAATATAGCATGATCTCTAAGTAACTCCATTACTTTTTTTTTAAAATTCTTATTGCCTCAAAATACTCACTTGCTTCACACTCCAATGTAATTAAGAAGGATTTGAGAAAATCATACTTACTGTGTTGCCAAAGTGTGTCTGTACCTACATACTTTGTGTTATTACGTCTACTTAAGAAGTGTAGAACACATTCTGTAATAATTTGGAATACGTTTGGTTGCCACTAGAGGGTAGAAAGTGAGCTAATAACATCAAAGTCGCAGGAAACTGGTCTTGCAGGCTGGCCTAGTCTGTCCTGCCAAGCAAGAAGTGATTTTGGAAGATTTTCGTCACTTCTCTAAGGAAAATAAGTTGCAATTTAAGTACAGTCAGTCCAGTGTTTGATATTACCTTAGAGATCTGTTTGAATCTGTAATGGTAAAACCTTAGCTGCTTTGAAGTTGGTGGCAAAACTCTGCCTTGTCTACAGTGTAATCAAGATTTTGCCATTAATAAGATCAAGCAGTATTTTTTAGCTATACATGAAGCCCAGTATTGTCTTGGAACATGTTTATTCTCAAGATACTATGCCAAAGGAAAAAAGTGTTTGCTACATTTGCAGTAACTCTTTACTTCAGATTGTTTTTAAGCATTATACGGTTTAGTTTATCACTTTCGCTTCAAATAGAGATTACCATTTACCAATTTCACTGTGGTTTATGTGCTTCTTAGTTTTATTGACTGCAGAGTCAAATCCCAATCTAAAGAAGTATCTTAACGTTGCAAGGACAATAGCAGGAGGAATGTTCTTGAATTGCTTAATGCCAGCAGAGTGACTGGACAGAAGGCTTTGTAATCAGAGTAGATAGTTGGTTGCATGTGGTTTTGTTGCTCTAGGATGTATCTGCCCCCCCCCAGCATTCATGCTGTGATTTTGACAAGGCATAATTATTGCTCTTTATAAGCTTGGACTGTTTAATAGTGGCTGTGGGTTTCTTCTTCTTCTTCCAGTCATTTAGCCTGCGATGAAGAGAGAGTGGAGGAGGCAAAGCTCCTGGTGTCTCATGGTGCAAGTATTCACATTGAGAATAAAGAAGAACTGACTCCACTGAAAGTGGCAAAGGGTGGCCTGGGAGCCATACTTAAAAGAATGGTGGAAGGGTAGTGGGGACTTCTGGCTTGACTCTTTCCTGTTGCACTTGTATTTAAGACTGCATTCTTTGTATTTTGATAGTTCAGTTAGGTTGTTGTGTATGAACATCAGCATGGTAATATCTCCTTCAAGTACAGTGCCAAAACAACTGTTTGTACTTCCTGTTAATTAAATAGGTCACTGATTTTAAAGTGTTTTTCAATATCTTGCCATTTTCTTTCAGTTCACAGTATTGTCTGTATAAATGTAATCATTCCTTCTATTTCAGAACTAATTTAGGATTATGTCTCAAGCAACAGGACCAAAAATGTGTTAACCACTTCAAGTCAATTTTATTTTGGAAGCTTATTCTACAGTCTTTGTTTTTTCCCTTAGCCTTTGTGATTAGTGTGTGATCTTTGTTTGCTTTTTTTGTGGGTACTGATTCTCTTCCTTCAGATTATTCTGAACTCATTGTAGATTGTAGTTTGCTCAGTTATTTAGATAATTCTATTCAATTTTACTATTCTTAGTCTATTTAAGTGAACTCTGTGTATTTAAAGCTTTTATGTTGTTATCTATTGTTAGCCTGTTTCTTTGAATCTTTCTTTGATGAAGTGCACTGGACTGCTTGCAGAATGCAGACACAGTTTCAGGGTTACCTCAGCACACATACCATTATATAATGGATAGCTCTGAACACTTCTCTGGGATGTACTTCCAATCTAATTTTATTTCCTCTTGCTCCTTCTGTAGATTTCTTTTTCTGTTCTGACTCCCATTACATAGCACTGACGCTCACAGTTTACCATCTTATTTTATAACAGAAGCCTGGTTTAATCTCTATTTACTCATAGAAAATCCTGGTGTTAAGTTATTAGAAGGCAGAGCTAATGAGTCTGAGTCTGAAAAGTGACCTTCTGTTCTGATGTTGTAAAGATCGCTTTTGCCACTGGTAGGATAAATTTCCCCCTTCTGAACAAACAATGCTGATGAAATTCTGTGAAATAAAGAACTTTCCTAAACAGCAGTCTTTGGTGTTATAAAACTTTATTAAACTTACATGTAACAAAACCATTATTTTCTAAATAGCTTGTATGCTTGGGATGTGAACAAGTCAGATGAAACCCTGCCATCTGTTCATGGAAATGAAACATGTTTGTTCTTCAGCTGCAGGGAAAGGTTGAAATGGAAGATGGTGGTTTCTAAAGTTTGACTTGTAGGGATTAAGGTATTGCAATTTATTTTCATAAGCAAGACAGAAACCTACAACCAAACAAATATCTTCACCAAGTACTTCAAGTCTTATCCTGGAAAGCAAAAGCTTAAATTTCAGTGAGGGTGCCTACTGAGAGCAGGAGGGGCAACTTGCCTGTAGAGTAAGCTCAGGCCATGCCAGACCTTGCTTGAAGGAGGAACCTGACCGAGTAAATGTTTCTTGTGTATTGTGCAGGCACTGCTGAAAACTTGAGAAAAGCTCAAGTTAGAATTCTGTGTTCATCCTTGATCTTTGTGTAGCAAAAAACCCCTGCCACAGCTCTGTAGCTTTGTAAATCCATTTCTCTAGGAGATGGTAGATTGAATCTTGGCTTAATATTTGGTTTCCATATTAATGATCCCTGCTCCCTCGGGAGAAGATAAATGGGCCATGCAGCAAAGACTGTTGGAACATCTGAGGCAGATTCTGAAAAATGTTTCTGCCTCGTGCATAGCTCTGCAGGGTTTTTTTGCTACACGCTGTGGATCAATACCTAATTTGGCTTGTGCTTTGCCAAGAGCATCAGTGGAAAGCTAGGAACAGTGCTCCATCCTTTTTAATAAACTATTTTACATGAGAGAAACTCCATAATAAGAACAAACATCTGCCAGAAGTCTTACAGAAATATCTCAATCTGTTAAGAAACTCCAAATAAATGTTATTTTCCTTACCCTCCTCCTCACCCACAGCAATCTGGTTTACTTCTTATTTTTACTTTTTGTTTTGTTTTGATTTTTGTTAGGGTTTTTTTAATACTATCTATTACACACTGGTGGCTAGAAGTATGAGAGGAATTATTAGTCTAGAACTTGTGTTCAATTGTTTTTTCTTTTAATATAAAAACATTTACATAACTTGAACAATTTCTACTTTTTTAGCAAATGTAAGACCTGTGGTGTTCTGGGAAGATTGTACTAGCTATAGAAGGTAATCACAACTTCAGATTGCATTCTGCATAAGCTCCTATGTTACTGTAGTAAGTTATACAAGGATATATGCAGAGAAATTTGTGGAGGTGAGATTAAGGAAAGATTAAAAGAATTACAATAATGAACACATAATATAGTCCTCTCTTCAATCACGACAATACTGTTACAGAGATGGGGAAGTTGGAAAGCTGTTGTAGTAACACAAATGTAACTAAGATGCATAGATACAGGAGATGACTTTAGAAGAACTAATACAACTACAGCAGTGTCGTGAAGAGTTGTTTGTATTTTCCATGAACAGCAAGAATAGAAGAATGCCTAGGAATGTCAGAGAAGAAATTATTTAGAATTAATACCACTGTCAGCCAAGTTGTGGGCTCCCTTGAACCAATAATTGATTTAAATTGTCTCATTAGGAAACACCTTTGATAAGAAATGGCACCCAAAAAGGAGTAGGTAGTACTACTCTTCTCTTGCTGTTACTGAGCATGCTTACAAAACATTGGGTGTGAATATCAGAAATTTTCAGTAAGCTTCTAAACCTAGATTGGAGGATGTGAGTTGGTGGATTTTATTAGCAAATTGCGACAGTCCATAAGAGAGATGCCTGATTAAGAAGAGATTTCTACACAGGTCATGACTTAACATTTACCTGGATATTCTAGGGAGAGAGGAGTGTGAGGATCCACTGGGAGAATATGGCAGTGTTGGCATTAGTAAGGGTTTGACCTGTGCAGTCTGGCACAACAGTTTTTAGCTAAAACAATATACGAACACTGTAAATGCTCTTTTTCTGTGCAGTGAGGCTAAATGCTAGGACACACGTATCAAAGACAAGTATTTGAAAGCTGGAAAACTAGTGAAATGGGCAATGAATACAGTTACGCTTAATGATCCTGACTGAATCATAATCAGGACCTCATGCCTTACATCTTATTTAAATGTTGCCATTTTTTTGTCTTTTTTTTTTGTGTGTGGTTTCTTAATAAAACATAGCTATAGGAACTGAATCTGAAAATTTTAGTGCAAATGTATCTTTTTATCTGTCTTAAAGATGACTGTTGCATATAACTAATATTTACAGAGTAGGAAGAGTCACCAAAGCATTTATGAACATTATCTCCGATATACGACTTAAGTGCCAAACAAATCCCTGAGCCTGACGGGAGTTTTCTGCAGTGCACAAGGCTGAAACCAGGTCGCCTTGTGTCAGTGAGTGCCTGCCTCATGTAGTTTAGAAGGGAGTTGCTGAGGCTGTGTGTGTCTGTTCCCCTGAGCCCTGTGGTCCTTGAGCTCTTCTGAAAAGAGTGTCTTTGCCCTTTTGAAGAACTGAGTCTGCTTAACCTTAGAAACAAGGCCCAGAGAGAAGAGGTGTCTAGTGATCAGAGTGTATGTGGTTCAATTCCCTTTTCTCTTTCCAAGAGTGTTCATTACTCAGCTGTTGGTTATTGGTGTGCATGCACCATTTACCTTTTCTCATGGTTCTTTCACCTATAGAAAACAGTCAAAGTTACACTGGGCTAATGAGACCAGAAGAAAAGGAGCATGAGTTTGTTGCTTAGTGGGTAGGGTGGTTGCCTGGGAGTAGATTTAAAACATCTCAGGCTGAGGAAGCAGTCTAAGCTAGTGTGTTGTGTAGTAGGCAGTGTTCACTGCTAAGTTTTGAAAGCAGCTGTATCCACATGTCATGAGGAATCCGATACTCTGTGTGCCGATTACAGCAAGCCTTGCAAGGGATTTAGAGTTCCAGCTCCTGTTGACTGGAAACCGATCAATTGATGTCTGAACTGTGTACCTCAATGCTAGTTCCATTGAACTGAAAACCAGAAATGCTGAAACACATGACTCTGGAATGCTGGTGCCTTGGGAACTTTAAAGCCAAGAAGATCACTGTTAACAAAATGTATTCCATGTCAGGCAGCAACAGGGTAAAAGGCTTTTTTTAGCTTTAAGGGGAATTCACACACCCAAGATATCATTGTTCCAGGTCTTAAAATCTGTTTCTGCACTCTGATGACATTGATGAAACTTCTTTTTACTTCTGACATGCAAAATCAGATCCTTTGAACACTGCAATGTATTGGCCATGATGATTGTTCTTGGTGTATAAGAAAAATGAGATTGGCCAACACTGTTTCTAGAGAAGACTGCTGTTGTCCAGAACTGTGTGGACATATACAGCATCACCGATAGTTGACTGGAAAGCTCTTACTTTTGTCAAATGTGTCAGCCTATTTCCTAATTAGTTTTGCAAAATAAGTTGGATAAATTTGGATTATAGACTTTCTATGCTTATGTACAATTATAACTAGATAACAAATGAAATTTGGTTATTTTAAAGGCCAAATCTTCAGCTGTCTGTAAGGTGCGTGTGTTACAGACCATTTTCACTCTCCAGTCCAGTGGTTCACAATACAAATGGCCATTCGAGATTTAGTCATGCTTCTGTGTTAATTCAATTGCAACATTTTTTGTATAAAGGGGTCCAAAGCTGACAAGGAAAACTGTATTAAAACTCTAGGCTATTTCTTCTTTTTCCGCTTCTTGCTTCTCATCATTTTCAGGTGTCCCAGAGGCTGCTGTTTCATCAACACTAGGGTATTCATTTGTTGCATTGCTTGATGGAACTGTGGTCGCAGGAATGTTTTCTTCATTAGGTACCTGAACATAGTCTGCATTGGATTGTTTCTGGGCCATTTCTCTGCAGGAAGACAGGATGAGGATTGTGATTTCACATGTTGAAATCCCATCTACGCTAGAGTCTTTCAAAAGAATGAGTCTTTGCACTTTTGTTGTCTAAACAGTAACCCACATATTATTATGACTGTTCCACGAGCACCTGAAAAGGCTACAACATCACTGCTGCAAAGACAGAGTGAGTGACAGAGTGTTAGAGAGTAAGACTGATCTGCACCACTGGTTTAAGTGATCCCATTATAGTAAAATGGATTTTAGTATGTTTAAATACTAAGCCAGGAAAGGAGAATGGAAACAGTCCCAGCAAACTGTCTGAGAAGAGGTAGTAAAGCACTGCTTGGTGTGAGCTTTCTGAGAAATTCCATGGAGATCTGGTGTCCCATTCAAGTACATAAAAGATAGAGTGCAGTCAGAAAAGAGCTGAAAAGGCTGAAATCTAGAAAAATATTTTTAGTAACAGGTGTGAATTCCATTTATCTTATCAAAACAATAAGAAATCAACTCTTGATATTTAAGCACTTTCACATGTAAAAAATATCAGATGCTAGTGGACTAATTCCATGTAGTAAGATTTATTAGGATCTGAGCATTAAATTAGTTGTTAATGCTACATCAATTCAAAGCAGAAATAGGTGCATGAGTGACACACCACCTGTCTGGATTAGCAGAATTCCATCTCAGGAAGTCTTAAACCTGTGCTACAGGGAAGTGCCCAGGTAACATATTTTTTTCTGCCCTCAACTGCATGTATTCATTTAGCATTTAACATTATGGGGCTAAATACAGTCTGTATAGCATGTAAGATTATCCCTATTCTGAAGATTTGGCAATTTAAGGGAAAAATGATCAACCAAAGCACAGAAGGAAAGTAATTTCCAGAGCAGAATCAAAATGGACATTCAGGGCTCCATCCTGTTGCCTAAACTTTGTGCCTCGTGCCATTTGAGATACCTCAGAGTATCCCAAGCCTGTAATTTCAGATAGCAATGAACGAGCCCTGTGTTTAAATCCAGTAACATACAATCCCAGTAAATTTGCTGAGGCAACCCTTAGCTGCTATTCCTTTTTTTTACTTCCTCCACCTGCCATTAACAGTCACCATTAATGTAAATATTAAAAACTTCCCAACTTGCTACTTTTAGTTTGTGTTCTTTAAAAAACATTTACTTTACTATTTTAGATACTGCTAAATGGCAGCTGCCTGTAAACACAGGGAAGAGGGTAATGAGAACTTCTGTTACAAGAGCAACAGCTTAAAAGTCACAGAAAAGCAAATATTCTCACTCTGGAAGTTTTCTCAAAACCCGTATTGCTTACCCTTCAAACAATATTTAAAGTAATTACGTTTTACATCACTTCTGGATTATCAGCAGTGCTTTACAGAAATAATTATCTTATAACGAAGCAAACAAACTCTTACTGCATCTCATTACTTGATGACTTCTTATTCTTTGCCTTCTTGGTTAAGACCCAGACGATAATGGAAATTATGGCAGCTGCCAGAATTGCTCCAATTAATGCTCCAGCAACAATACCACTGTCTGAATCTGGAAAGAAAAAAAGATTACTTGACTTTTTAAGAATTATTATTATAGCAATATCCCATAGAAATTTAGTGGAGGAGCCTTTAGTAGAAAGAAGGTATTGGATTTGAAGAACTAAAAAACTCACTGACAGCTGTATTTCCAGGAGGGAGACCAGAGATTCTCTAGGAAAGAGAGAACTGTGTGTATGTGACCTTTGCTGCGTTGTTGGTTAGCTCCCTACCCCAACAAACCCTGTGTTTATGCCTGCCTAAGGGAGACATTAGGCTGTTGACGCTGGCAGTAGTTGAAAGCCTTTGCTCTTCAGTCCTCACAAACAAATTCTGAATTTCAGGTTGCCTTTATCTCTGTCTTGCAGCTGAGATGTAAAACGTATGCTCTGATTATTTGTTAGTCCCTAAAACCTTCTATTTCCACTTCAATACAGCTGCTAGTTCTTTTTATAGACCACTGAGTAATTGAGTGACCCATTTCAGGGGCATCTCTTGTGACTGGTTGTACAACATGCTTGACTCTTCTTAAATGTACTGGTCGTGAAAAATCTGCATGCAGATGTGGTTGACCACTGCTTGAGAACAGTCAGGATAAGGTTGATCACTGCTTAAGGGGAGTAAGGATAAGGTATTTTTCCATGACTGCAGTATTTTTAGCTAGTGGTCACATCTACAGTGCCCCAGTCCTTGTACTGCCACATTTCAGTGATGGTTGTAAGTTCTGGAGCGGGGAGACCTTAGTGAGCCTGTTAGCTGGAAGAAATTGCTCTGAACTCCATGTCTGTCGGCTCTTAGTAAAGGCTCTGCAGTCAGGGACAGGCTCAGCTCCTTCTCCCAGGGGGAAATGAAGCTGGAGAAGTTAAATAAGTTGTCTAGGCCAGTGTAAATTCTGGCATGCCTAGATGAAAACTCCAGAGGTCTTCAAAGCCCATTCTGTTCTTATTTCAAAAAAATCTATGCTGTAAAGTTGTTCCAGCTGTCATTGTCCTGCAAACTGTGCATATCATACATCCAATATGTGATTACTTTCATACATTAGACTTACGCTTTGCAGTTAGGTCGAGCTCACAGGTACTGTTCCCCAGGACGTTGCTGGCTATGCACCGGTAATACCCAGTTTCAAAGTTGGTGAGGTTGCCAATGTAAAGAATGCCAGTTTTTGGATCTGGGACAGAGAGCAGGTAGATTACAGTTTGTATACTGTAGAGGCAAATGGTTGTCTTTAGTTGGTAATACTGATAGCTATTAAGAGGTTAGAAACAAGGTCTCCAATTATTCATTCATTGGGGGGGGGGTGTGTTATATTCTTTAAATAAAAAACATTTACCTTCCTTGAAAATTACTACAGTGGATTCTACAGGAGAGTATTAGAACATGAGAAGTAGGCCCTTACTCTGCAGATCAGTCTGTCTGTCTGATGTTTTACACCCATGGATATACTACTGTCAGTGTAACTTCACAAATGAAAATGTAGCAAGTACTGAAGATTTTTGGGATGGACGTATTAGCACCTGAATGTCAAATTGGCTCAATTTATTCCAAGGGAAGGGAGATGAAAAGGCATAAACCTTTCTCCCATTTTAACAATTCAAAGTAATGGCATAGACAAGACTTTAACATGCCACACAATTTTTATTAAAACCGATAGAAAAAACATTCTGTGTTTGTGACAGCTATCAGTTGATTCAAATACGTGAAATTATGATTTTGTGACGTCAAAATAGGATAAGTTTTAACTATCCTTTGTGATACACAGTGTTTGAAATGGCCGGTACTATGGAATTCCAGGTCTTGGACATGGTATGGTAGTCCTGTAGTTACGTACCAAGTTGTTCAGTCACAGGCTTGAGGGTATTCTCATCTACTTTGTACCAGTGGTAGGTAGGGCGAGGCAATCCTTCTTCACATTTACATGAGAGGTAGATTAGATGGCCTTTTTCAGGTGTTCCTTCTATTTTGCAGAAGGGTTTTGACGGTTTGACTGTAAAATAACAATGAGGAGAACAGATACATGGTGAGTACATACCCAGGGCTGCAAGCATCCACCTCGAGTTCTGGTATGGCGCTGCTATAAGTAAAGAATTGAGCCCCACCTGCAGATTTCCATCTGAGAGCAGTCTTGTTTATGGATCTGACCAAAGGCTTTCCCAGAAAGATCTGAGTTAAATAAATGTGCATGGCATAGGATACATTTTTATTATCTTTTCTTCCATTTGCATACCAAATATTACTATGGAGGTGTTGAGATGAAGACTATCATTTACTTTAATTATAATGGGCCAATCACTATTCATTGTACACCATTCTGCCACATAGCAACATAATTTTCTTTAGGGACACAGCAGAAGCTTTTCTGTTGTGGAAGAAATTAATTAACTACAGTTCTGTTAAAAGATATATCTGTTTTGATAGCATCTCCTCACTTTGCACACAGGAGAAGATTCTGTCTTCACTTACACCTATTACTTTTCATTTCCTCCCTGTAGATATGCTGTTGTGGTTCTTTAGCGTACAATTGGTGGAACTATACCAGAAGTGAACACAGCCCAATTTTGAGTGCATAAATTAATAACCTTCTTCAGTTTTCATGTGAAAAGTATGATCTCTTACTCAACTGCTCCAAGGTTTGCTATTTGTTTGGTGAATTTTAGATGAGAATTAACAGTTGTACTTTAATTTTCAGGGATTGAGTTTACATATGTCGTTTTCTTATCCCTGGCAGATAGGCAAATGATGATGGAATCATGTTCTCACATGACTTTGGTTTGTCACTCTGACCAGGTATGAATTCTCAACATAAAAGCAATATTTAGATGAGGTTAGTACAAACGTTTATCTTATTAGGAAGTAAAATAGGTCATTCCACTGCTTGTCATCCTTTCTGACCTGCCTGTTCATGGCTGAGCTATTGCTTTCTTACATCCAAAATAGACTTTGTACTCCTTCCATTCAACACATACTAAGTTTCCAGAGTTTCTGGGGATGGGTGTCAAGCCAGAACCCTTGGGCTGTCCTGCTGCCTCTCCCTAGATTTCTGCAAGTCACCATGACCAACATTCGGTAAAATTAGTAAAATTTTGGTTTTTGCTGGGACTGGATGTAGTGGCTTCAGAGAAAAGTCACTCCCAGCTAAAAGAGCTTTTTATTTTATTCAACGTTAGTATCACTTTGTTGTCTAACATGAAAAATGTAGGGAAGTTGGGTAATTCTAGCTACCCACTTACCTGCTTACATTAGCTTTTTGAGAGCACAAAGTGAATCTGAAGGCCGCTGGTGGGAAAATGAGGTGTTTCTGTAGGAGGCAAGGGCAGCTGCGGAGCGGTTTCAGGCTGCTCTGTCTGGAAGCTAGAGGGCACCCCCGGCTCTGCCTGCCTCCAAAGCCCTTGGAAAAACCTGCGCCAGTGCATCAGTGAGCCCTTTCTCTGCATCACGGGCCTGGATTATCACAGTTCTGTTCTTCCCTCTGGTCCTACGCATTTTGAGCCGTGAATTCGGTGTTTCATAATAAGGGAAGAAAACAACAATCCAGCAATAGAGAGGCAAGACGCTTACCCAGCACACGGACAATCACAGATTTCTGGCTCTGTCCAACATCAGCCTCTGGGCTGAAAACTTCACAGGTGTAGGAACCAGTGTCTGAGGGCTGCATGTTGGAGATTGTTATTGATGCATTCCCTGGACCTGTTGCAGCTGTTATCCTGTTCTTAAACTCTCCATAAGAGTAAGACTGGCCTCCTGTATAATAATAGATCTGTGATAAAGAATCAATTGTTAGTTTAATAACAAGAGATGTTCATGTCTCTTTGTTTGGTACTTACAATTGAAATATAGTTCATTTCTGATTAAGCCAAGCAATGTCACCCCCTTTCTTTCCCCCTCCCCCGAGAAAGCTGAGATGACAACGTGGTACATTTGAATATATATTTCTAGTGGCTTGTAAAAGACAAGCTTTTCAGAAATGGGATTTTAAAATTATGCAAATAGACAGTAGCTAGTTCTTTGTAGATACTCCAGTCACAGACTGATGCATCTGTGAAAACAAAGGTGAGACCATTGACCATCGTATAACAATTCTGTGAAAAAATGCTGTCATGCACAATGAATAGTGGTACTAATTGAAGCACTGATAATTTGTGATATCATTAATAAGTGGCTCAGTAGAAGATGGTGACAAGAATGGACCTGTCATCGCAAAAAGTGGATGGCTGCAGAGCTTTTGAAATAGAGATGCTAGCAAACTGAGAACTGAAATGAATTTACAGGACACAGGTCTAAGCAAACAAGGTGCCTGATCTGTTGGCAATAAATATGGAAGCAATAAAAATGCAGTATGAGAACACCAGCAGAATCATCATGCATGCAGTCAGAGCAGCCATGCTTCTCCTTATTTGTGTAATCAGGGTCAGAGACAGTGTCATGGACTATCATGAACTATAAACTTTTTGTGTTTATATCGTAGGTGGAAGCCAAGAATACCTGTTGGCCTCAGTGCTTGGAGGGGCACCCATTTGGGATCAAGTTCCCCATTTACTAAACAGTAAAAAAGTTTTGCAGAATTATATAATAAGGATAAAGGTCTCTAAGGAATGCAACATTTCCTCCCAAATAAAAATTTCCTGTTTAACAGTGACTGATTTCACTGACTTCAGTTGTACTTAACAGCACTGTGGCAGTAGAATTGGCCTCATAAGCTTGTAAGCCCAAACCTGTTGGCTGTTGATGGAAAGGAGAAGTAGAATTGTGTTCAATGTGGAGCCTGGCTGGCAGTGTGAGGCTTGGGCCTTGAGTCTGTTTGGGAACTGCAGCATTTTATCTGGGCTGGGGTAAATATAATAGTTCTCAAGGAGTACATACTCTCTGCCCAGTCTAGCTCTGCTGTGAAGCCAAGATCTGAAAGAACAAAGGTAATGTGGAAATCTATGGAACGTTAATTATTTTTCTTAGTTGTTAATGATAGTGTTGTGTAAAAGTGATAGTATTTGGGATAGGCAGTATGTTCCCATGTCTACATGCATAAACTCCATTGTCCAGGCAAAGTGAACCGTTCCAGCATACTCAGTCAATTTTTAAACTGGTGACAGATAACCATATAGAATTACACAGATTTGGACCCAAAGAGATCTAACATCATTCCTACAGACAGTATTCCAGAATCAGCAATGTAAATGTATTTACTGAAGTTGGACTAACAGCATGTTTTTAATGGGAATAGCTGGAAAACAAGTGTAGGAAAAACCACAGACTCGTGAAATGCCATTCACACCTGACTAGTATCAGAATTTCCTCTTGGCCAAGATGCCCTGCCTTTAGGGATACTGCAGATCCCTAGGCAAGAAGTATAATTTGCTTTAATTTGCAGATCAACTGATTGCATTTTGAATTAAGAATATTTATTCTTAATTCTATTTATTCACCCAGATACAGTGTTGATTGAAGTCTTTAAGCAATGTTATCTGAAAGCCTTTATTAGCTTAAGGTAAGCTACACCCCAAAACTGCCAGAGCACAGTTGCTTTATGCAATGATAAGGCTTTGAAGTGAAGGTCGGAACCTAGACTGCAGAGCACCGGGAGGTCTGGTCCTGCAGCTTGGCCCCATCTCTAGTGCAATTTTGCCTGCTTTCCAAGCAGACTTTATCTTCCCCTGCCCCAGGATTGCAAACACCAGGTACAATTGATGCAGGGCTCTGAACTCCAAAGCTGCACCTCTACATAGCCAACATGTAGAAAACTGGCATTGCAGTGAGGAAGCACAAGAGGTGCAGTGTTTGCACAGCAGCAGACTAGGTTAGAAAGTCTGCTGAGCAGCTGGATACTCTCCAGTTTCCCTTGTTCGCATGCAGTGCCATCTGTTTTAAAACTGATTTTATGCTTTGCAAGTGCCTAGAAATGGACCTCTACTGCAAAACCAGAGTCTGGATGCACACCCTCATATTCACCAAGGAAGGAGATTATTCAAAATAAGGAGTTTGGTTTAAGCAAATTTCTCATCAAAAAACTGATCTACCTGTAATTACAAAAACACACTGACCACAGTTGTCTCATTCTACATTTATCCAGGTATGAGCAACAAGAGTGTTACCACTGTTCCTTGCAAGAGTCTGAAGTTTCAAAAACTGTAACTTCTAACTTCAGGCTCCTCTTAAACTGACATTCCTATATAGATCTCAGCAGTGATGGGCTGGATTTGCATCTCCTCTTGATCAATTGCATCCGTTTGAATGGGGTAGGGAAAGAGCTTCCGTCAGCTCTTCACACTAATGTGAAATTGAGTTGTACCATGGCTTAAATGAATGCGTGACATGCAGCAGCATGAGATGAGAGACAGGCCCATTAAATACTACTAAAAGGCCTGATTACTGAAAAGAGGGGCTAAATTCTACTCAGTCACTCAGAGCGATCTGGGATTTCTGTGAGAGTACACGGCAGCAGAAGCTGCCCACTGAATGCTAGCTTAGCTACAGCACATGTTCCTGGCACTACAGCAAATCTCAAATGTAGTTTGAGATCAACTGGCATCAGGCGATGCCAGTTAACATTATAGAGGGGCAAGCACTCCTCAGTATATATGATCTGAAGTCAGGGTGAATATTGTATCTAAGCCCTTATATAATACACTGAAAAATTAATCCCATGTGTTCTCTCTTTCTGCCTGCGTGCACGTAGAAAGTCTTTAGTGTACACTGTTAAATCTGAGGCAGGTGTCAACACAGCAAAGAATATATTTTTTCTCCATGTGTTTAAACACTGGGTTGGGTTTTTTTTTCAACTATGAACATAAAGGCAGTGGAACATCTCAGGGAAATGCATTTCTTTCCTCTGCAGGCTCCTGCGCGCTCTTTGTTTTTTTCTGCTCCTGTATGATGCTTATCTCCCGACTCTGGAGTTTATTGCCTGCAGGAAGATGGTAAACACCAAAAAGGCTGAGTAACGTTGTGATTAATTACTGAGTGTATATCTTCTCCCAGAGGTATGATTGGACTGTGTACACAGGAAATTTCATTTAAAAGGAACATGTTTCAGTTAATTGGATGTGAATTCATAGCCCATTTTAAACAATACACTCAAAATAGATATTTTAAGCCCTTTTCAAAGTGTTTTTATGCTGTCCTTGCAAAACTGGTGTTTGTGCCTTTCAAAAAGCTGAAATGAAAATCTGCAAAAATGTTTCTGTTCCATTTCAAAAGTAAAAAACTTGTTTTCTGTTCAAGATATAGAAGACTTTTATTTTTGTGCAACTGACAGCTAATGTTCCCTCCTACAGAAACTCATATAGTTGACATTTCTTTCCATTTTACCTAAAATGTCCCTAAAATGTCTGTATGAGAAAATTGTAAATTTAGTCAATGGTAGACTTTTCCTGGAAGCCTTTTTAATTTGGTGTGATAAATATATTTAAACTGCAACATCTTAAATGTAAAAAAATATGAAAGAAATCTGCTGTGCTTCTCTTGAAAAAAAGTAAGTTTTTCATGTCCTCAAGCAAACCATGAGCAGCTCTAGTGAAGTCGATGATTTACCAGTGTTATAACAGTAATGAAGATGCAGTTCTGGTTGCTTCTCCTTACCACCTAGTCTGCTCATGCAAGTTTTTATATAATGGTGCCTTTTCACATTTCATGGGAGCAGCTGCCTCGGATGACTAATCAAACAACTGATGGAAAAAAGAGCAGAGATCATCATTCCAAAAAATGCTGTCCCTGATAACTCCACAGTATGAAACACCAGTTTCTGCAAAACAGTTAAACGTCTCCCTGACCTTAGACAGGATTTCAGTTTAGTTGGTTATTCAACTTGTGGGCCAGGCAGTGCCTAAAGCCGCTAATGTCAGCAGCCATCCTTCTCAGCTTTCTGAGGCAGTGGTATAGTTACTTTGCATTTCCACAGTTACAGTTTCTGCTGCAACCAAGAAAAGAGTTTGGGCTCATAGACTTCCAAGGCAGTTGAGTCGATTATCCATGTACCTGTTTGTGGGAGCTGGCTTACAAACAGCACAGGGAATTGGGAATGATCATACTTATTTGGAAGAAAATCTTGGTAATCTCAGTGCACTCCAGTTGTTGTGCCCAATTCTGAAGGATCTGGTACATGAAATCACATGTCCTTTTCCTTTAGCTGACTTGTGGGAAGCCTGCCTCCTCTTCTAGTGTGATGGTGAGGAAAGTATTTGCCTGCAGAGGAAGCACTTGGCAAAGCTGATGCTGAGCTGAGGATTTTCAAAGGCTGCCAGGTGTTTGGCAGAGAGTGAGGAACCCACCTACAGGTTTCCTTTATACATCTTATATAGAAAGATCTTCTTCCTTAGGGGGTGGAGGTTGTGTGTGAAAAAGCAGGCAGTAAATTAGAAGAAACATGCCTCTATCTGCTTCATTTCTTCTTGGGGCAGGACAAATACAAATGTCTTTCAAATGTCTTTGGATGGACTAATTCATAATTTCCAGGTCGATATTCCTCCCACCCTCCATCTCCTGGTGTCATTGCATCACATTGCTGTACCTGCCTAGTACATCTCGATATCAAAATTGTAAGATGAGATGCTCTTGAAGATGTGTTACAAAATATCTCTCAATCTCCACAGTAGTCTTAATTTCCTGGCTGGGGGGCAGTTTCAGGATATGACTTCCTTTCCAGTGCCTGTCTTCCCTCCCCCAGCCCCTTCTCACTTTCCCCCACCAGCAGATGCAAAGCTCTAGCATCCTGTTCGATGACGTTTCTCAAGGCTGATGTACTCAGCATCTGACTCACAGTCTTTG